GAATCAACAGGAGGGTGTGGTGGTGATTCTCCACCTTCTCTTGGGGTGTTAGGGAAGGATTCCTGGAAGAAGTGTCATCTAAGCTAAGCCCTGACGAATACACAAGCATTAGGTAATGTGTAGAAGCTGGTAAGAGAATAATGGGCAAAAAAAGATATGCAAAGGCCCAGAGGCAGAAGGACTTCTGATAATTCAGAATGGCTGGAGCACAGAGTGCAGGAAAGGCAATGGCAAGAGACAAGGCTGTAAAGGTAAACTGTGGTGAGCTCATGAGGAGCCTGAAAAATATTAATGAGTTTTGTTTTATCTTAAAAGCAATGGGAAGCCCATGTTTTAAACAAGGAAGGGACATGATCAACGTTGTGCTTTAGAAAGACCACCCTGGTTGAAAGAGATGAATGCATATGAAGAGGGAAAAATTAAGGGCCATTTCGCTCCTCCTTACCCAGGGATTAGCCAATATCCTGAATTTTTTAAGGATATGCTGGAAAAATATGGGGTTGAAGGGTAGCTCACATCAGCATATTTAAATGTTGAAGGGAAGGATTCTGAAGGGGGTGAGGAAATAAGGGGGTATGTAACTGATAGCAGTCAAGGTCCCTCAGACGTGGGAAGGAATAGTGAGGGAGCAGAAAGGAGAGACTCCTCTTTCATTCTGAGAGAAGGGAGAGAGGAAATAATGGGTGAGGATGCAGATAAGTTGGCAAATTTGGGTGTGGCAGGAGTTCCTAATAGTTCTCATTCCCCTCCCTCCCCCCTCTCCACCGTAATGCAGGAGGCAAAATCATAGTCATCTGTCCAGAAGGAAGAAGGTGACAAAGGAGTAGTATGGAAAATATTGTTAGTTGACCCAGCAGTTCTTTCCAATCCCTCCTGCCCTGCTTCTTTCCACTGTAGAGAATGAAAACACTTGCTTTACCAGATACACTTGCAGCAAGGAAACAAACAAATTTTAGTCGGGTTTTTCTTTTTTTTTTTAAGCTTTTTGCTTTTCCTGGTAAAGGAGGCAGGCATGGTTGGTGCTCCTTGCCTCTAGTTCTGACTTAACCCCAGATGTAGTTCCTGGAGCTGGGACAGCTCTCTCACAAATCTGAAAAAACAAGCATGAGGGAAAGGCCACAAAGGCAGATGCCAGCCAGATTAGTCATCATCCAGCTGCTGAAAGCCAGCAGCAATCCACCCTCCAGATTCTGGTGGTAAACACCTATTTGGACAAGCCACCAAAGGTTGATTTTCATCCAGAAGCATTCCTAGCTAATATAGGAAGATGTGAGGACAGTGGTGAACATCTGACCTGGTCTCTGAAGAGAATGAACGAGAGGTAAAGAAGGCGCGTAGCATTACTAGGTAATACTGAAGGCCCAAAAGAAGTGAAATTCATCAAAGAACACTCTGTTTCATTTTGGAATATTTGCTATCCCTGGAAATTACTCTAATGGGTGTGCTAATATCATACTGATTTTTATCAAGGTCAGCCCAAGTCATTGTATGAGTAGTAACTCTTTTAGATAAACTAGAACCTTCTAGTCATCAGGATACCTATGTAACAGCTAGGTAACTCAAAGTACAGAAAAACACTCTTTTAAAAATTCACCTCCAGAGTAGCGTCTGGGGTCTTAAAAGCCTGTGAGCACCCATCTAAGATACTCCACTGGTCTCACCCCTTCCAGAGAAAGGGAGAATGAAGAGAACAGGATACAAGGAAAAGATTAGTCCAAAGGACTAATGGACCACAGCTAGCATGGCCTCCACCAAACTGAGTCCAGTACAGCTAGATGGTGCCCGGCTACCACCACTGACTGCTCTCACCGGGATCACAACAGAGGGTTCTGGACAGAGCTGGAGAAGGATGTAGAACAAAATTCTAACTCACCAAGAAAGACCAGATTTATTGGCCTGAAAGAGACTGGAGAAACCCCCAGAGTATGGCCCCCAGACACCCTTTTAGCTCAGTGGTGAAGTCACTTCCGAGGTTCACCGTTCAGCCAGGGAATGGACAGCCCCATAAAACAAAACGGGACTAATGAGGCACAGTAGTCCAGGGACAAGGACTAGAAGGCAGAAGGGGACAGGAAAGCTGATGATAGGGAACCCAAGGCTGAGTAAGGATAGTGCTGATGTGTTGTGAGGTTGTTAACCATTGTCATAGGGCAACATGTGTACTAACTGCTAAATGAGAAACTATTTGTTCTGTAAACCTTCACCTAAAGTACAATAAAAAAAAAAATTCACCTCCAATTTGTATTTAAATGATATAATTCATACCACTTTCTGGTGGAGAAGTTCAGGTTATTCACAATGAAGAGGCTGTATCCTTGCAAAATTTACATCAGCACCAAGTGAAGACATTTCCCTCAGAACACTTGATTTCGATTCTGTCATTTTATTCTCATAGTACCTAAGAAACTCTGTCTTTCCATAATTAAGCAGTAAGTCACAATACACATATCTCTGAGGCATCTGTTGCTTTATTGGATGGCTTGCTCCTCTTTAATTACAAATAAAATGAGCCCCAAATAAAAAAGACTCCTACAATTTAATAACAGAAAAATACACAAACCCAATGTTTATTTACATTCACTAAAGCTACAAAGCACAATCACTTTCAGAAAATTCTATAAGCAAAATTTGCATTCACTTCTCTGCCTACTATCTTGTATCTATCAATACACTAACTAACCAGAGCACATTAATCCCACATTTATTTCTGGAGTTAACTCTAAGCACTAGAGTACTTTCTGAGGTTTCAATGTTTATACTTCATGAGGATCCCAGTCAAGCAAAGTTCACTATGAGACTCCCTTTCTCTTTTCCTTCCAAGAACTTTCACTTCTGATGTTTCCCTCCATATTGGGTAACTGTAGCATCATGGGAAACACAATGTGTATTACTGTAATACACAACAGTTTTATGAAGAATCCCCGGAAAAGAGAACATTACATTGTAGACTATCAAAATAATTTTAATAATATACAGTCATTTTTAAACAGGGAATCTGAGTAAAACTTCTTGCTACTCAAGATACTCTAAAACTGTTGTCTTAACACTTATAAACTATAATGGTTAGGTTTGACAATTATTTTTAAGGGACTGCAGTGGGCTCTTTGAAATTTAGTGATTTCCTCATTTGTACAAGAGCTTTAAAAATCCAGAGTCTCATTTCATGACAACTTATCTAAAAACTCATCTTACTGAGAATGCATAAGACCCTGAACAGGCTGTCTCATGATGCCTGAAACACATTCACAGCTGCTGAAACCCATTCACAGCTGATTTATGCCAGAAAAGGGGACATGTAGGACACTGAAAGATAGTTGTCACTGTTAAGGGCTTCTTTTTACAGTGAAGCTGTGGTACACTTCTCCATTATACACTGTTTGCAATATCACCAGATTTGTGTTGCTGTCGTTAGGTGCTGTTGAGTCGGTTCCAACTCATAGTGACCCTATGTACAACAGAATGAAACACTGCCCAGTCCTGTGCCATCCTCACAATTGTTGCTATGTTTGAGCTCATTGTTGCAGCCACTGTGTCAATCCATCTCCTTGAGCGTCTTCCTCTTTCTGCTGACCCTCTACTTTACCAAGCATGATGTTCTTCTCCAGGGACTGGTCCCTCCTGATAACACGTCCAAAGTGCATCAAAGGCTCACCATCCTTGCTTCTAAGGAGTATTCTGGCTGTACTTCTTTCAAGACAGATTTGTTTGTTCTTCTGGCAGTCCATGGTATATTCATTATTCTTCACCAACACCATAATTCAAAGGCATCAATTCTTCTTTGGTCTTCCTTATTCACTGCCCAGCTTTCACATGCATGAGGCAACTGAAAATACCATGGCTTGGATCAGGCACACCTTAGTCCTCAAAGTGACATCTTTGCTTTTGAACACTTTAAAGAGGTCTTTTCCAGCAGATTTGCCCAATGCAATACAGCGTTTGCTTTCTTGACTGCTGCTTCCATGGGCATTGACTGTGAATCCAAGTAAAATGAAATCCTTGACAACTTCAATATTTTCTCCAGTTAGCATGCTGCTTATTGGTCCAGTTGTGAGGATTTTTGTTTTATGTTGAGGAATAATCTATACTGAAGGCTGTAGTCTTTGATCTTCATCAGTAAGTGCATCATCTTAATGTGAAGAAAAAAGGGAGATGGAGAACTAGGCTATTCAAATAAGATTTGTGTTACATCAGTCTCATTTCAACAATCTTGTCCTCTATCTCCCCTTTTTCTTCATATTAAGATGATCATCAACCTTATATAGCATTCATAGAACATTCCTATTAATTATTAAAACATTCCTATATTTAGGCCACATCCTGAAGATGTATACTTAATGTTTTCATTGTTTCCAAATTACAATATAAAGATTATTCTTTTCCTACAAGGGCAGTTAGTATCATCAATAATGTGTATGTTTTTGTGAACTTTCATAAAAGATTAAGTCCCTTAACTCACCTGCCTCCTTAACAATAACCCCGGACATTTCAGCCTAGGTTTGAGGTACATATTATTTTGGGTCTCCTCAATCCTAGTTCAGTATTTGGAATCAGGTAACAGAAGACAAAATGGGAAAGCAAGCAAACCAAAAAAAGTAATATTTGGTCATTAGAATTCCAATGCTCAAGTTATGAAATGGAGGGGAATACCATTTTTGTACTGAATAACTTACACATCCCTTTTCAATAGGGAAAAAATGTACTTGTCTAACAAGGAATATACCAAATAACCTGTCCAAGAATGTCTTTTCAAAGGCTACTTAGGGATGGAAATCTGAATTAGGCTTTGGAATCTCAAACATCTGAGTTGACACTGTTATTGATTAGCAGAAAAGCAAACAATAGTGACACAGACATTCTACATTCTCCCCTGTGGCTTCTTTGACCCTTGAAGGAAACTGGTGCCCACTAAAACCACTGATTTATACCAAAGGAGAGTTTGTGCCTCATGTCGTCTTCCCTGTTGAAAAAACTGAGTAAATGCTTTCATTGCCTCATGACACTGATGGGAGTTTTTCTCTAGTGTGTCTTTTCTTATGTCTGAAAAGATTTGAGCTCTGACTAAAGGCTTTCCCACATTCGTGGCACTTGTAGGGTTTTTCCCCGGTGTGGGTTCTTCTATGCTGAATAAGGATTGCACTTCGGCTAAAAGCCTTTTTACACTCATCGCACGCATAAGGTTTCTCCCCACTGTGGATTCTCTGATGTAGAATAAGGGCTGAGCTCTGACTAAAGTTTTTGCCACATTCATTACATTTGTGCTGTTTTTTTCGAGAGGGGTTTCCCTGTCTTCTTTCAAGTCTGTCATCTTGTTTGCAGCTTCCTCTATATGTGAAACTCTGGGAAGCATTCATACGAAGGGTGTTAGAAACATTGTAATGCAGTTCTATGCCTGAAGAAGTCTTTTGCCTTGAAGCTGATTCCACACTTCTAGCTTTGGTATCTCCATCTGAAATAATAAACAGAAAAGCAAACGTTACTAGTTCTCTGTTCAGAAAGAAAGGGAAATAGAATGATCTAAATGAAATAAACATGGATTAATTATGAGCTAGCATGCTTGTAAAACAGCATCACATTGTGGATGATGGAGATGGTAAGATGGAAAATACCGCAGAGAGCACAAGGCAAAGAGAAAGGTTACATACTGAGGAGACAGTCAATTATAAAGATTCAAAGCTCTATGGAAAAGGTAGAGTAGTGAGGAGGGGTAAAAAGATATCTCAGAGACCGAGGAAAGTTTGGAGGAAAAGAAACAGCCTGAAAGATGAGGAATTACTGAAGATGCAGAGTAGCAACTGGGAAGAGTCAAATGTGGCAGCGGGTAGTAAGCAAGATTTAGTACAAGAGTGTCAGTAAACAAACAAAAGGTTGACAGTGATAAATGAATGGATAAATAAGCAAAGGAAGGGGCTGAATCAAAACTAAAACTATTCCTGAGGCCAGCTCTTCAGACAAAGATTAGACTGGACTATGGGACATAAAATGATATTCGTGAAGAGTGTGCTTCTTAGCTCAAGTAGATACATTAGACTAAATGGGCAGCTCTCATCTGGAGGCGAGATGAGAAGGCAGAGAGGGTCAAGAGCTGGTTGAATGGACACAGGAAATCCAGGGTGGAAAGGAGGAGTGTGCTGTCACAGTATAGGGCGAGGAACTAGGGTCACATAACAATACATGTGTAAATTTTTGTATGAGAGACTAACTTGAATTGTAAACTTTCACTTAAAGTACAACGATAAAAAAAAAAAGTCTAAAAAAAAAGGAAGGGGCCAAAGAAAGCCAAGAGGTCAAAAAGGAATATGGAAAATACAAGCTAGGCAAAAACAGAGAGGATTACAGATGAGGATTACTGATACTTCAAAAGATCGTGGGTAGCACATGGTACCTATCTAAGAAAAACCTCTAATCCTGTATGTGTTTTACAGTACTGGTCAAATGGCTCAGTTTGTTGTATTATTTTGCATTATATTTGATGTCTCTGGAAAAGTGCATACAGCTGTTTACCAGCTATAGCCATTCCGACTGAGCACAGATCTGCTTAGAAGCAGAGGGCCTTTGGGCTCAGGCTGTTTGGTTGCCTGCAGCTCCAATAGAACCTGTAACTTGGATGTGACTATTCCAACTTAATTTGGATATATTAACTAAAGGAATCACTTCAGTCATCCTCATGGTGGCAATTTCACTGAGGCTACTGAAAGACAGCAGTTTAAATGAGTCTACAAAAGGAAAGTATTGCAGTGTTGCACATGGTTGTGGGCATGAATTAGCTGGGGTTGACTGCAACTGATGAGGATACCTTTATCTGAGGTAGTTATACAGAGACTGAAAGGCACCCAGAGAGTACTGATGATAAGCGATGCTCTGCGCCCTCTCAAGGCTTAGTCAGAAGGATGATGTCAGAAAGGCGGTTCAGGAAGAGAAGTCAGTGACCGGGTGTGACACTGGCTAAGAGAACTATGAGTTTACAGAAAAAAAGCTCAAGAAATTAATTTAAAATGGGCCTAAACATATTACAAAATGAATGTATCTTTTGCATTTATTCATAAGTATGATATATTAATTTATTAATTACCAGTTTAAATAGAAATAATTTCATAACTGGTAAGGATTCTGTCTCAAATACATTTTTTAATAGCTCTTATTCCAAAGTGACCTAGATGTTTAATCACTATTGTCAAAATCCTGGCCAAGAGTTAGCGCTTGACCACTGACACTGAGGTCATATGCAGAAGCTTTGAGAAGACATGACTCACTACCACAGAAATCACGCAGCAGCCTTAAGAAATGCTTCTGTTATCTCATCACAGGATCCTAGTTCTCTGTGCCTTGTATTGCCAAGACCCTGGGACCTTCTGCTTTCTGTTTAAAATTTCTACACAGCTTAAAAAATGTGGGAAAGGCCTCTGTGAGGACATTGGCTGGTAGAACACGGTTCTTCTCACCAAAACTAGGAGCCCAGGACCTAGCTTTGAGGCTGACTGCTTCTGTAGTCAGCGCCAAACAAAGCCACTGAGGCCAGAATGGTTTCCCTCCCTATCTTGACAGAGTGTGAAGACTTTGACTTTTCTCCCAGGTAAGCTAGGGTAATGTCTACACTGGAGGTGTTAAGTGCCCAGTATACAGAGCCAGTCAATCCTTTTTTGAGGAGGCACCTGCCAAGTAAGGATGAGAATGTTTTCTAAATCTCTCTCTAAATTTTAGAATTTCCTTTGTTTTTCCTTTAATTTCTAAAAGCTCTAACCTTGCTCAGATGCTTGTCCTGCCCCCAGGCTCTGGAAAACAGAAGCAGTGGTGAAGAAGAGGAGGTGATCCTCCCAACTGGGGTTTCCCCTTAATCTCTGGTTCCCATTTTATCCAGGATGATCATCAAGAAAGAGTGTCTCAGCTCACATGTCACCTCATCAGAGAGGTCTTCTCCACTGCTCTAATTATAAGACTCTGTCCCCACCCTGCTGGATCCCCTTATCCTGCTTTTTTTCCCCATGCCCAAAAAACCCATTGCCGAGTTGATTCCGACTCATAGTGACTCTACAGAACAGAGGAGAACTGCCCCATAGGGTTTCCAAGGAGCAACTGGTAGATTTGAAATGCTGACCTTTTGGTTAGCAGCCGAGCTCTTAACCACCGCACCACCAGGGCTCCTTTTCCCCCATAAACCAAAAACAACCCGTTGCCGTAAAGTCGGTTCCAACTCATAGCAATACTGAATAAATAAACAGCATTCATTTATTTAATATCTGCAATGGAAAAACAGACTGCTGTGTCAGCTATTTTGGAGAAATTTTGTCCAAAGTGATACAAGAGTAATGAAGGCAAGCTTAGGATGTGGGATGTCATGGTTTGAATTATGTCCCCCCAAAAATGCGTGTATCAATTTGGCTGGGCCATGATTCCCAGAATTCTGTGGTTGGCCTCCATTTTGTGATTGTAATTTTATGTTAAAGAGGATTAGGGTGGGATTGTAACACCACCTTTACCCAGGTCACATCCCTGATCCAATGTAAAGGCAGTTTCCCTGGGGTGTGGCCTGCACCACCTTTTATCTCTCAAGAGATAAAAGGAAAGGGAAGCAAGCAGAGAATTGGGGATCTCATACCATCAAGAAAGCAGTGCCGGGAGCAGAGCACGTCCTTTGGACAGGGGTTCCTGCACAGAGAAGCTCCTAGTTCAGGGGAACACCAAAGAGAAGAAGGCCGACAGAGAGAAAAAGCCTTCCCCTGGAGCTGACGCCCTGAATTTGGACTTTTAGCCTACTTTGACTGTGAGGAAATAAACTTCTCTTCATTAAAACCATCCACTTGTGGTATTTCTGTTATAGCAGCACTAGATGACTAAGACAGAATTTGGTACTGAGAGAGTCGGGTGCTGCTCTACCAGATACCTAAAATGTGGAAGCGGTTTTAAAACTGTGAATGGATAGACGTGCGGCAGTGACAGAGGACCAGCAACAGCAGAGAACCTATGGCAGCAGCAGAGAACCAACAGCAGCAGAACCAGGAGACGAGTGCGAGACAGCACTGCAGCCAACCCACGGAGCAAGAGAGTTGAGTGCCTATGCGCAGGAGGCTTCCTGGCGGAATCGGGTGCCTCTGGGTACTTGTCAGTGGAGCTAGGCTTGCCGACCCATGGAGCAAGAGAGCTGAGTGCCTGTGTGCATGAGTGGGGTGCCTCTGAGCACTTATCGGTGGAGCTACAGAGCTTTGGAACACTTGCCCCAGCAGGGCAGATGTGGGCGTGAGGCCCGAGGGCCAAGAGGCCACAGGAAGCAGAAGCTGAAGAGACTAGGGACACAAGAAGCTGAGCTGCCTCAGTCTCAAAAGGTATGGACATGACCTCAGGGGTTTCAAAGGGTGGAGCCATGGCCCCTGGTGCTTCTAAGGGTGGAGTTGCCACTCAGATGGACTGGAGAATGGAGCACCTAAAGCCAAGGGAGCAGAGTTGCTATCCCAGTGGGCCTGGAATTCAGAGCTGAAGCCCAGGGCCGAGGGGCCTCCATTCAGAATCTGGAGAATGTGGCCAATACCTAGGGTCTGGAGGGCGGGGCTATTGTGTAAATTGTCTCAGTGTGTTCTGCTGACTTGCTTGGTGCCTGTTATCACTTCTTTTCCTCTAGTTTCTCCCATTTGTAATGGAAATATCTAACTTGTGCCTGTTCTGCCATTGTACCTTCGGAAGCAAATAACTTGTATTCTAGATTTCAGAGATGAAGAGTAATTTTTGGATTTTGGACTTGGAGTTAAGACTTTTGCTACGATATGATGGGGTGAATATGTTTTCCATGTTGCAGCGATGTGATTTTTTGGGGCCAAAGGGTGGAATGTCATGGTTTGAATTATGTCCCCCCAAAAATGTGTGTATCAGTTTGGCTGGGCCATGATTCCCAGAATTGTGTGGCTGGCCCCCATTTTGTGATTGTAATTTTATGTTAAAGAGGATTAGGGTGGGATTGTAACACCACCTTTACCCAGGTCACATCCCTGATCCAATGTAAAGGCAGTTTCCCTGGGGTGTGGCCTGCACCACCTTTTATCTCTCAAGAGATAAAAGGAAAGGGAAGCAAGCAGAGAATTGGGGATCTCATACCATCAAGAAAGCAGTGCCAGGAGCAGAGTGCATCCTTTGGACAGGGGTCCCTGCACGGAGAAGCTTGTAGTCTGCGGGCACACTGATGATAAGGCCAACAGAGAGAGAAAGACTTTCCCTGGAGCTGATGTCCTGAATTTGGACTTCTAGCCTACTTTGACTGTGAGGAAATAAACTTCTCTTCGTTAAAAACATCCACTTCTGGTATTTCTGTTATAGCAGCACTATACACAGCATTTATTTATTTAATATCTGCAATGGAAAAACAGATTGCTGTGTCAGCTATTTTGGAGAAATTTTGTCCAAAGTGATGCAAGGGTACTGAAGGCAAGTTTAGGATGTGGGGGAAACACATTCAAAGTACTGCAAGAGAGTAAAGTCATCTCAGCAGCAATATGCGTGATTTTGACCCTAGATCCCACTAGCAAGGAGTTACATAGGAAAATGATGATGTAGATCAGTGGTCTTTAAACTGTGTACGTTGGAGTCCCACAGAAGGGTCTCAGGGACTGCCTAAAGGTGAAAGAGGCTTCAGACCTCTTTGGAGGCTGAGTGGGCGGCCCTGTGGGCTGGGACTGCTTGCTTCTACTTCAGCCAGAGAAGCTGTGTTTTCATCTGTTTTATATACTGGAACTCCAACTAAGATTTCATTTGAGAGAAAGGTTATGCTGCTTAAGAAAGCTTTGAAAACCCTGATGAAGGTGATGTCAAGGATTTAAAAGTCTAAGGACTATAAGACTGTGTAAGAAAGAAACAAGAACATACTGTCAGTGTTCATTTGGCAGGACAAGTAACAGAGGAAGTTCCCGCCCTGAGGAGAAGATAGACAACAGATTTGAGATCTCTTGCAAAAAGCAGCCAAGTTGTATGTCATGGGCTGAAATGCCACCTTTGCCCCCCACCGTGAACTGAATCCTGCCCCTCACCATTTTGTCTTAAGGAGTGGAGCTCCCACGATGCCCACGGGAGCCGCTTCTTGCTGGGTTTGAGCCGGCTACTTGGTAACTCCTGAGTTACTAGCCAAGGTGCTAGCTTCTCTGCAAACATGTCCTCTTTTGGTCCAAAAAATAAGACCTGGAATGAATTAGGTATAAGTGAGGCTAAAGAAGGAAAATCATATTGGGAATTGAGGGTAAAACGACAGAGAAGAAACTGGGACATAGGAAAAGGGAGGAAAAATGTAGAGCTAGGTTCTATTTTCTGGGACACCCATAAGCACATTCGCCACCCTACTCATCCACTTGTGCTGGGGAATACAATTTAATTGCTCTACCCTCAGTGACAAACCAGTGCTCCTGACTCAGCCTGGTCATTCATCCCCACAGACGTCCTTCTTACCTGCTCTGATGGCCCATCAAGCTCTCTCTCTGCAATCTCCAGCACAGTCACTGCTTCCTCTCCATTCTCTGGCTGATGCTTCTGCACCCAGACCTGCAGCTCCCTGGGCAAAATGGCCAGGAATTGCTCCAGCACCAGCAGCTCCAGGATCTGCTCCTTGGTGTGCACATCCGGCCTCAGCCAGAAACGACAAAGCTCCCGGAGCCGGCTCAGAGTCTCCCGGGGCCCAGGTGAATCCTGGTAGCCAAACTGCCTGAACCGCTGGCGGAAGGTCTCCGGGCTGTAGCAGCTGCTCCAGTGGAGGCTGGGGTCCTGATCACAGGCCTGCTGTTCCTCTTCCATCTTCACTATCAGAATCTCGTCAGGTTCCACTGAGGTTTGTGGAAGAGGTGCTGGCAACTCTCTCAACTTTGCAGACATTTTGACTTTGAATAGCACAGGACAACTAGGCTTTAATGGTCAAGGAGGTGAAGCTCTCCTATGGACACTCCTCAACACGATTAAAGAAACAAGTGGAGACAAAGACAAATGAAACATGCTTCTTGGAACAACATCACTAAGAATAGAAACGTAAGACTATATAGAAAGTACTGACCTTAATCTTAATATAAACCATGCTTTAAAGAATATTTCTTTCTCTAGGCTCAAGCATAACGACGATTGTGAGGATGGCGCAGGACTGGGCAGCGTTTCGTTCTGCTATGAGTCAGAACTGACTCGACAGCACCTAACAACAACAACTTTCTCTAAAAGAATCAAAGAGCTGTGACTCATTAATTCATACACATGAGTAATTCCCAATTTATTCTGAACACCACGCTCACAGGCTGACTGAAAATTACAATAAGAGATCAGCTAGCATTATACAAGAGCTCCCAGAGAGAAGAAATAAGGGAAGCCTGTAGAAAAGCTATGATTCTGGAGCAGGTTCAAAAAGCTGATTAAGAGTTCTAATAAATAGTCTCATGAGAGAAGTACTTTTGTGTGGATTTTTTTTTTTAATTTTTACTAACTGTTAAAACAATATTATTTTGACATTAAAGGAAACATTCAAAAGAAATCATATATTCCTCCATCTTAATGAATATATTTTCATTTTTTCATATTTACTTCTACTTCCCATCCATAACATCTCTATATATATGCAAATATATATATATACATATATATATATATATATATGTATGTATGTATATATATACTTAACTATCTCTTTATTGCAGAACGAACAAATCTGTCTTGGAAGAAGTACAGCCAGAATGCTCCTTAGAAGCACGGATGGCGAGACTACATCTCACATACTTTGGACATGTAATCAGGAGGGATCAGTCCCTGAAGAAGGACATCATGCTTGGTAAAGTAGAGGGTCAGCGAAAAGGAGGAAGATCCTCAATGAGAGGGACTGATACAGTGGCTGCAACAATGGGCTCAAGCATAACAATGATTGTGAGGATGGCGCAGGACCGGACAGCGTTTCATTCTGTTGTACATAGTATCGCTATGAGTTGGAACCAATTGGACTGTACCTAACAACACCGTATCTAACAACAACAACATCTCTGCATTGTTTAATTAATACAAACTCATTTAATCCTCAAAGCCTTATGAGGCTACTTTTATCCCCATTTTATGGATGAGGAACCACAAGGTCAGGTAATGTGACCAAAGACAAAGTGGCAGTGCTGGGGTCTGAATCCAAGGCATCCACAGTTATGCACTGTGCTACATGGTCAAGAGGCTGGAGGCAGGAGAGCCCCTCACTGGTAACCCCTATGCAGAGTCCCAGCACTCAGAAGGAAGTCACCGGGAGCAACAGGCCCAGATGAGCCCGGAGCAGAGTCCAAGGGAAAGAAGGAAGAAGTGGGAAGGGTTGAGGCCACGAGTTTGGAGCCATCAGGGAGCATTATATTTGAGGGACCCTAAGGCCAAAACCAAGGAGCCCTGGTGGTGCAGTGGTAAAGCTCTCAACCAGTGGGTGGTTCCCACCCACCAGCTGCTCCAGGGGAGAAAGATGTGGCAGTCGGCTTCCGTAAAGTTTGTAGTCTTGGAAACCCTATGAGGCAGTTCTACTCTGTCCTATAGGGTCACTATGAGTTGAAACAGACTGATCGCAATGGGTAAGGCGAAAACAAGGAGCCCTGGTGGTGCAGTGGTTAAGCACTTGGCTGCTATGCGAAAGATCGGAAGTTTGAACTCACCAGAGTGGGAGAAACATGTGGCAATATGCTTCCATAAAGATTACTGCCTTGGAAACCCTTAAGGGGCAGGTCTACCTTGTCCTATACAGTTACTATGAGTAGGAATCAACTTGACCGCAATGGATCCTTTGGAAGCCCAAAACAGCCTTCCAGACCAGAATGTACTCTGCGTCTTCGGCACCAGAAGCAGAATCTGTGCCATCTCCACAGCTGCCCTCAGCTCTAAACAAGACACCGGGAACCAAATTCCCAATATCGCACGGCGTCCTGTACCGAACTGGGCCCCTCCGAGGGGAGGCTTCGCTCAGAGTCACGGACCCAGGGGTCTTTCCGGAAAGGAACAACGCTCACTACAAACTCCTCCTGTTATGTACCGGCTCTGGGAGGGCAGGTGTTCGACAGTCCTCGGACCCCACCCAGGTGCCCGCCGACTCTCCCCTGTGCGGCGCCCCACTCCGGCTGGGAATAGCCTCTGCAAGGCCGCGGTGGGGACTGGAGAGGCGTGCGGGGAGAGGTGCGGGCGTGAGCAGGGCACGCAGAGGGGGCGTGGGGTGGACGAGCGGCACGCAGGGAGCAAATGGTAGCGAATGAAAGAGGATTCAGCGGGATGTGGGGATTTGCCGGGGAGCAGTCGGCAGGCGCCATGGGTTGCGCAGGGGAAGGACAAGTAGAGGGCGTGTGCGGACGAAGGGTGCTGCGGCGAAGCGCCCCCCGTCGGTGGACATGGCGAGGGAGCTCATGCGGGGTGTGGGGAGAGATATGAAGAGGTGCGCGAAGGAAAGGGCAAGGAGGCTGCCTCGAGGCGACGCCGAGATTCGCGGTCACCGTCTCTCCCTCAACCCCGAAGACGGGCGCTTGTTCTCCACGCCGAGGGGCCCTGACGAGGCCTGGACTCTCACCTCCCGACCGGGAAAGACCACGCTGCGCGCTCCAGGAAAGGCTGGAGGAAGCTTTCGGCCGAAGCTGTTTCCGGTCCTGGCCATGGGATGGGGGCGGGACCTGAGAAGCCTGAGCGGTTACCATGGAGACAAGCCAACACCTCCTCCTGCCTCCGGGAGGTCGGGCCCAAGATAGGGTAAGGACAATGACCGCAAGGGATGGGAATCCAGCTGCTCGGTATCACCATTCAAAGAAACTACCCATTTTTTTTTACTTCTCAAAGTGCTTTCACCTACATTATTCGTTTACTCTTTTGATAACTCATTAACAGAAAATAAACCCAAAGGTACCGTGACTCGCCCAAGGTCGCAGAGAGGAGAGATCCTTTGCCATCGAGTGGATTCTGACTCATAGTCCATAGCGACCCTATAGGACAGAGTAGAACCGCCCCATAGGGTTTCCAAGGAGCCGCTGGTGGATTAGAACTGCCGACCTTTTGGTTAGCAGCCAAAACAGCTTAACCACCGCACCACCAGGGCCCCAGAGCGGAGAGACTTCTGTGCTTTATACCTCTACGCACAACCTTCCTCTAATACCATCCACGCTGCTAAGGTATTTATTGTTCTTGTGTTGTTAGGTGCCCCGAGTGGATTCTAACTCACGGCGACCCTATGCACAACAGAGAAAGGTCAGGGGCCGAATTCTGAACAGACCATCAGTTGCTCATATGTAAGTTCATGTTGAAGCTGAAGAAACAAGTCCACAAGAGCCAAAATATCACCTTGAGTATATCTCACCTGAATTTAGAGACCATCTCAAGAACAGACTTGACACAATGATCATTAATGACTGAAGACCAGGTGAGTTGTGGGATAACAGCAAGGACATCATACATGAAGAAAGCAAAAGATCATTAAAAAGACAGGAAAGAAAGAAAAGACAAAAATGGATGTCAGAAGAGACTCTGAAACTTGCTGTTGAACATAGAGTAGCTAAAGCAAATGGAAGAAATGATGCAGTAAAAGAGTTGAACAGAAGATTTCAAAGGGCTGCTTGAGAAGACAAAGTAAAGTGTAATGAAATGTGCAAAGACCTGGAGTAAGACAATCAAAAGGGAAGAGCACACTCAGCATTTCTCAAGCTGAAAGAACTGAAGAAAAATTCAAGCCTTGAGTTGCAGTTTTTAAGGATTCTATGGGGAATATATTAAATGACCCAGGAAGCATCAAAAAAAAAAAGATGGAAGGAATACATAGAATCACTATACCAGAAAGAATTGGTGATGTTCAACTATTTCAGGAGGTAGCATATGACCAAGAACCGGTGGTACTGAAGGAAGAGGTCCAGGCTGCACTGAAGGAATTGACAAAAAACAGTCTCCGGAATTGATGGAATACCAGTTGAGATGTTACAATAAATGGATGCAGTGCTGAAGGCTATCACTCATCTATGCAAAGAAATTTGGAAGACAGTTATCTGGCTAACCGACTGGAAGAGATCCATATTGTGCTCATTCCAAAGAAAGGTGATCCAACAGACTGTGGAAATTATTGAACAATATCATTAATATCACACACAAGTAAAATTTTGCTGAAGATAATTCAAAAGTGGTTGCAGCAGTACATCAACAGGGAACTCCCAGAAATTCAAGCCAGATTCAGAAGAGGACGTGGAACACAGGATATCATTGCTGATGTCAGATGAATCTTGGCTGAAAGCAAGAATACCAGAAAGATGTTTACCTATGTTTTATTAACTATGCAAAGGCATTCAATTGTGTGGATCATAACAAATTATGGATAACATTGTGAAGAATGGGAATTCCAGAACACTTAATTGTGCTAATGAGGAACCTGTACATAGACCAAGAGACAGTCGTTCAAACAGAACAAGGGGAAACTGTGTGATTTAATGTCAAGAAAGGTGTGCATCAGGGTTGTATCCTTTCACCATACTTATTCATTCTGTATGCTGATCAAATAATCTGAGAAGCTGGACTATGCAAAGAAGAATGTGGCATCATGACTGGAAGGAGACTCGTTAACAACCTGAGGTGTGCAGATGACACAGCCTTGCTTGCTGAAAGTGAAGAGGACTTGAAGCACTTACTGATGAAAATCAAAGACTACAGCCTTCAGTATGGATTACACCTCAACATAAAGAAAACAAAAATCCTCACAACTGGACCAGTAAACAACATCATGATTGTTGTTGTTGTTATGTGCTGTTGAGTCAGTTCTGACTCATAGCAACCTTATGTACAACAGAACGAAATACTGCCCCGTCCTGCACCATCCTCACAATCATTGTTATGCATGAGCCCATTTTTGCAGCCACTGTGTC